AGGCTGGGACAGGATTTATCTTGGACTTCGACTTCTATGTGAACCTTGCTCAAGTGCTATTAACCATACTAGCTAATACATGATTGGTCTATGGCCAAAACTGACAACACATCTTTACTGTTAGTGCTTCGAGTGAACGTCAGGTGATCATTAGTAGACAAAAGGACAATAAGGATTGTCATGGTAGCTCGTAAAAACCCAGTGGCTACGAGGGTTGTCGGCCATGTTGTGACGTCATTGTTGTACTCCCGTTTCCAGGCAGCCATTGATTGAGGGTTTGTTCACCCCGCGCGTTCATACCATACTTCCGATGTAGCTAATGACATTATAATGAGGGGCATTAAAACAAATGTCTGCTCAAATAAACCTTTTCATTAAGGAGACCTGTTCAAAGATATTTTATTGGTCCTCACGGACAGACAAGCTTACTGTCGGTTAATTGCTAAGTGGTTATCGGAGCCCATTGGCAGCAACAACTTAAATGTGGATTCATCAGAAAATTAGTATGAAAATCTTAAGGATTTTCGGTTTTGGCGAATCGTGCACTCAAACCAGTTTTAAGTTTGGTTATTCCGTATACTGTTCAACTTCTTTGCTTTTTCTTCTTCCATCAGCGAAAATCGGCATAGGACAAACAAGGACAAACAAAAGTCATACTTTCTGATTTAATGGTATCGCTTAGGCAGGATCAGGATTAGGCAGGATTTTGGCAGCTAGAAGTCGTCGTGGCCTAAGGGATAAGACGTCCGGTGCATTCGTGTTGAGCGATGCGACGGTGTTCGAATCTCAGGCGGGTACCAATTTTTCTAATGAATTATGTACTCAACAAATGCTCACGATTGACTTCCACGGTGGAGGAATAACATCGTGTAATAAAATTGAAACCCCCAAAATTATAATTTGCGTAATTACTGGTGGTAGGACCTCTTGTGAGTCCGCACGGGTAGGTACCACCGCCCTGCCTATTTCTGCCGTGAAGCAGTAATGCGTTTCGGTCTGAAGGGTGGGGCAGCCGTTGTAACTATACTGAGACCTTACAACTTATATCTCAAGATGGGCGGCGCATTTACGTTGTAGGTGTCCATGGGCTCCGGTTACCACTTAGCCCCCGGGTGGGCTGTGAGCTCGTCCACCCATCTAAGCAATAAAAAAAAAAAACATTTGGAGAGTCCGCTGGAGAAAATTAGACGAGGCTGACGTATCGACAGTTCTGTAATCCGAATCATCTCTGGACATCTGACGTTTAAGTGGAGAAGCTACGAAGGGATTTTAAACGGTTCAACTAATACACAAGATTTGACACCTCATCCCAAATGTAACATTTTTTAATACGCTTTTATTAGCTTCAGACGTAGGTATGTATGTATGTTAGTATGTCACGGAATCATTGAACATGATTTTGACCCCCGTCAAAACGTCGGATTAACTCGAAATTTGGTATACTTATTAAGGACCAATGACAATACAATATTTAAAAAAATTGACAACATTTAAAATCAACTAAAAAATTAAAAATAAATAATAGTTTAAAAAAACTAACAAAATACCCTTTTATAGAAAATCCAACTAAAAAATAGAAAATAAATTTGAATTAAAAATTGTGTAAGAAAAAATGATTTTAAGGTAAAAAAAAAGCGTGGGGTGCATGCATGGTATCAGTAGTTATAAATATTTTATGAACAGATATGAGTAGAAGGATTATTTTAATAATATCCTGAAAAGCAATTCAAATTTATTATCTATTTTTTAGTTGGATTTTCTATAAAAGCATGTTTTATTAGTTTTTTAAAACTATTATTTTTTGTAGCTTAGATGTGTGGACGAGCTCACAGCCCACCCGGGGGCTAAGTGGTAACCGGAGCCCATAGGCATCTACAACGTAAAAACCGCCACCTACCTCGAGACGTGAGCAGTAAGATCTCAGTTTTAACAGTACAACGGCTGCCCCGCCCGTCAAACCGAAACGCATTACTGCTTAACGGCAGAAATAGGCAGGGCGGTGGTAGGTACCTACCCGTGCGGACTCACAAGATGTTCTACTACCAGTAATATATGCTATGCTAGCTTACGAGTAGTTCGATAGAATCATGTTGAATGTTGGGCTAGCTCGCAGGGCTCCGTCTGAAAGAACTTGCTATCGCCTCCCTTTGCAATAGCAGTACTGAGACTAGCAGCTGACCAGAGTAGGGATCCACGGAGTAGACCCGGCGAGAAATTTCCCAAGAAACCTGTGTATTTAAAGGTCAATGCCCAACTACCGCGTGGATGGACGCTAATTGACGTCTAGTTCTTGGATAGTGGAGGAATTTTCTCAGAATTCAGTCTGCGGAATGCCAGGAATTCCCTAGCGCCACGATCCTACAGCTTCAAATACTTTTTGCTGGTCGCGGACATGCCTCGCCGCGTATAAAAAAAAGACATTATCCTGTCTACACCTAAAAACTAAGGCGCACAGCGTGAGCATACAAAAACAGTGACGTGCGTGTGTTTATTTATAGTGTGACGTTTTGTTTGTCTGTTTGCGTGTCTGTGCTACCGGGGTTCACACGCCTAAAGCGATGTACGGACAGAAAAGGAAATCACAATAATCTTGTAATAAAAACAACATCTTCGTGTCGTATGAATATTCGGGATGGTTTATTTAGTAGAATTATTTAGGCATCACAGATAGATCGTCGCTTATGTGAATCCTGGCTTGAGTTAAAAAAATCAATTTATTGAGAATTCATGACTCCCGCCGGAGAGATAGGCAGCATAAAGTGTCTGGTGGTATGCATGCGATGGCACCAATTAAAACCTTCGCGGAACGTATCTCCATTTACTAAGGTACGAGAAGAGTAGCTGAGTCAGACAATTTCCTTCTTATGGCACGTTGTAGACTCAACTGCACTTCAGTCCGCTGTGACCACGAAAATTGTAATTAAAACGTCGCAAATAATGTAATGACAATAAGAGTGAAATTCATAACAGTAGATTTACATCTTCACCTTGCTGTTCTCGCCGGAGCTTCTCAGTGGGTCGCGATTCCGATCCGGTGGTTGATTCCGCGAGGCACTGCTCTTGCTAAGGCTAGTGTGGGAAGTTTGACAGGCTTGAACCCTTTAAGCTTGCCTAAGTTGGCATAATCCCTCAATGCTACCAGCATAGGTAGGCAAATATTAAAATGCCTCGTGGAAACAAGGAAACAAAAATTGATATGTGGAAGTTGTCGTGGCCTAAAGGATAAGATGTCCGGTGCAGATAAGACGTCCGTTCGTATCTAGCGATGCACCGGTGTTCGAATCCCGCAGGCCGGTACTAATTTTTCTAATGAAATACGTACTTAACAAACAATTATAATTTTGCGGGATTGATTTTATTACACGATGTTATTCCTTTAATGTGGAAGTCAATCGTGAACGTGATATAAATTAATTTTATAACGCACCTTCAAAGTACGTTATATTTATTTGATGTCTCGTTGCTTTTTGTGCTGACGGTACAGGGCACAGACGCATCCGCTTGGACGTAACCATAAATAGCCCGGGACTCACCATAACAAGATATTCTTAACTCTAACACATTGCCTTTATCAAATTATACAAATTATAACGAAACATGTTTTAATAAGCTTACAAACATTAAGCTTCTCCGTGTAGAAAGCTACTACATACATACATATCGACAAGTGACAGGATATTTGGTTTGAGCGATGTTTTTGCAACTTTACAGGAGAGATATTTACAGTGTTCATTTATAAAAAAAACCATAATAAAAAAACTTCTTCAGCTATTAAAATGAGGTAAGCTTAGTTGAAGTTCAATTAAAAACAATGAATTGTTGATGATAATACCGAATAAAACGGACCTTTAATTACAAAGATAAATTTCGCGTGTTAAGCGAAATGTCGCTTAAACCGCCTTTCACCCCTCGATATGTTAAGTAGGAAGCTTCGACAACAGGTATGTCAGCTGAGCGATATATTTTTTCTACCAAATTTCATAAGTGACATATATTGTCATAAGGTTCCTTATACTATGTGTTGTTATTTTCTTTTGTTACTATGTCCTTACTAAAATATTTTTAAGAAATCACTGTTACTAACATTAATATGGATAAATATTATCTGAAATAACTGAATTTCATAATAATAATAATAAATAAACACTAGTAATTTTCGTATCGACCGTTTTTTGTTCCCTGCCTATGCTGATAGCCTTGAGAGGCTATTTCAGCTTCGCCCTAACGTTTGTAGGTGAGTTCGCGGGACTCAAACCGGAGAGTTGCTAACACTGTCGCTTAATCAATAAAATTCTTTACTAACCGGAGATTAACCTAAAATATTACAATTGTCTTATTAATGCCAATTATCTTTACCGAAACGCCTTGGGGTACTATGCTGCAGCGAAAGTATGTACATCAGACAATTTGAAAAAATACCGTAACAGTTATTTATGTGTAACGAAATTTAAGAATGTTCTCATTTTTAAATATCTTTTGACATTAAGCAATTATTGTAAATATATAGTTCTGCACTGGGCCTCTAGGGAAATGAAATAAGTCTTAACATTGTTCTGAAATATATATTGTATTGCAAATTGGTTTAATTGACTGGTGTAATCAGATTGGTAACACCCCCGATAGGACCGTCTAAGATGCTCTTAGAGTAGCCGAAGACAGGACGAGATAACAGCATCCTGAAGACGTAAATCATACTTCAGGTGGTCACGACCTTAAGCCATGAGGAGCACGACTGAATAAGTAGGAGGATTAATTTATACTTTGTTTATTATAATAACTCAACCTTGTAGACCCTGGCTTCAGAAACGATGACAAACTCATAAAGGTTTGAATTTGAAATTCAACTTTAGTTTCACTATATTTAAGGTCGCCGATATCAATGTTGCCAGTCACCTGGTAACCATTTAATGCCAGATAAAACATTAACTTGAAGGTTGTCCTTAATGTAATTATAATAAAGCCGATATATTCTCTAAATGAAAGTTTTCTATTTGTTTCAGAAGCGACCCGTGCGTGAGACAGTTCAGTTTCGTTCCGTGGGCACATTGAGTGATGCCCGATCGTGTAGTTAGTCAGTAACAGTGTCCGTGGTTATACAAAATGGCCGCTATTGCCGCCCTTTTCGGTTTGCTCGTGATCGCCTTTGTGTCAGGTAAGAAATGAATATTACCTCAATTTTAACCGGCGCTGTTAGTATGCGTGTCTTTAATTTAAGTAGATTTTTCCTCAACTGTCATTTCTGTCGGTTTCTGGCTACCTCGCCGCTGTTTATTTCCGCTTTGTGGCGAGGGAAGCGGGAATCTAAATTCTTACGACTCATATCGAGGGGCGAAAGACTATTTATTTGGTTTAAGCGAATTTTTTAAACTTTACAGCAGAGCCATTTATTGTTTAAAATTTGGAAAAAATATCATAAGAAACAAAATCCTTCGGCTATTTGAGTCAATTAAAAACGTCGAACAGTTGTTGCTAATGCTAAATAAAACGGACGTTTAATTACAAAGAATTAACGCGGATTAACGAAATGTCCCTTAAATCAAATATCCTTTCAACCCTCGATATTATAATCTGATTTAGTTTGTTGCGGAACCTAAAACCGAATACCTTTTCTCGGGTGACCAGAGCTTCAGTTCTCTGTCGTTTCTTGTGGTCATCGCAGCGGACCATGTCTAAATAGCCGCTCAGTTCAGTGGTGGGGTATTCAAGAAATACACGGACGTTTTAACTCCAACAAATGTGTCCGTCCACAGTACTAATGATTACCGCTCGGGATCTATGATGTCACAATGAACGATCAAAATCATGAACATAACTTGTCTTGCTTAAAAACTGTGTACAGACAGCTTACAGAGCGAGTCGCTTAAACAAATAAATGTGTTATTTTAATATCAACAAGTCGGATTGTTGAATGGCTTAAGTCCGATTAGGTTATTAGAAAGATAGTTATTGAATATTTTTGATTCACCGTTCGGTCTGTGTCTCGAAGGCCGGGTATCCACTAGAGGCAAACTCAGGACAATCCGAACGGCTTTTTTCTGTATGGAGTCAAATGGAACTAGCTGGTATTTGGGAGCCCTAGCCCAGAGGTGGGAGCAGTACTCCACGCGAGGCTGGACCTGCGCTTTGTAAAGCAAAAGCCTTTGTCCAGGCATGAAGTACCGCTTCGCTCTGTTGAGGACTCCCAGCATTTTGGACGCCAACTTGCTTGCCTCAGAGCAAACAGCCGCAGTTCGGGATGTATGCTTCAAGTCGAGGCTGCCCGACCCGAGTTTGCGTCTTGTGGATACCTGGCTAAATAGTGGTCGAATAAGCGCAGTATTTTAGAAGTTTTTTAAAGACGTATCTATGCTATACCAGTAGGATATTGTTGTCGTGAGCTTTAATGAGACTGTATGTTGTAGCGACTGATGAGCCTCAGTACAAAGAAACGTAAACCTCAAAAGTTTTTGATAAATATGTAATGAAAAACCTTTAGTATTTAAAACTCTTTCCAACTCTTTTAGTTATAAAATATATTTTTCTTAGAATCACTCACCTGTCATTCAGTGAAGAGAATAGTTAAGTTTTGCATTGTATAATAATACTGTTTAAAGTATTCATTTAAAAAGAGATTAAGGGCATTGAATGTTGGTTTTATAGTGATATCAAACATTCCACAGTGAATGAACAATAACATACTAAATTGCGTTTTCTGTAATATAAATAAGAAAGTTTTTCTTTCTAAATATTTAACAGAAGCGATATAATTGTATAAACCAACATTCTATTTGTGAAGCTAAGAAAGTGTTATCTCCAGCACGAGGCGCGGTATTGAGGATATAAATGAGTCAATGCCATCGACGTATTTAATTTTTTATCATTTTATTCACGGCTATTGGCAACGCGACCTTTAGCTGTATCTTAGTTAAATTAATAGCTTACGATAGTACTGTGCGTGAAATTGTGTGACTTTACACAGAGCTCAATGCTGTGAATTTGTAGCGTTGCCCCACACTCATGAATTTTAACAAATAAAAAAAAACGGTTAATGATTCGCCATATCAAATGGTTATATAGGTATATAAAGAAAAATTGAATTATGTACATAAAACATTGGCACGACATTTTATGGACTCGCCAAAAGACAGATATTTTTTTGAATAAAAATGAAGAATCTTATAAAAGCATATACATAAATGTATGTTTGGTAGTCGTTGTGCCCTAAGCGATAGGAAGCCCGGTGTATTCTTATGAAGTGACAGACAGTACCGGTGTTCGAATCCCGCAGGAGACTATCTTTTTACTAAGAAAATACGTACTAAGTCATATTCACGAATAAGTTTTAGGATGAAAGAATAAGATCGTGTAATAAAAATTATAAATTCACGTCATTTCCGAAGCCCGCACGGGTTGGTACCACCAGCCTATGTATTTCTACGATGATGGTGTTTAATAAGCGCAAGGGAGAACCGTTATGATTGAGACTGCGACCTCAAGTCTCAAGATGACGGTGTGTCGGGTAGCTATCATGCAACACAAGATATTTGACAGATGCCTAAATCTCGTTTACGACATTTTCAAGATAAGCTTATATACAAGTTCCGAACAGCAACATCCGGACTAACCTAAGCATCAGCCCGCTGAGTTTCTCGTCGGATCTTCTCAGCGGGTCGCGATCCCGATCCGGTAGTAGATTCATTCGCGAAACAGCTACTCTTGAGTCGTTAGGACTCATTTGGTGGCGCTCGGCAACTGTTAGCAAATCCCACCCCTCCTGGCTGAGCCTTTGCTCGCCCACCTGCCCTGGTAAAACTGAAAAGGCCTCCGGGCCACCAGTAATTTTTAAAACATAAAAAAAAACATTCGGACTGTCGGTCTACCGAGCAATATCACCTGTTCGGTGGGAGATCTTCCCTTTGTCATATTCTGCAACCGCTTGACGCCAGGAAGAAATCAGCTCACCCATCAAAGGATCTACCGATGACTCCAAATACTACTTGAAGCGCAAAGAACGCAAACTTATAAACAATCCAAGATGGCTTCCATGTTTAACTCCGTAATTAGGGTCGGAAGGAGCGGCGCATGTATAAATACAGTAAAAAGGTGTCTGCTATTCTTCATTGACCCTGACTGCTATTTCCGAACGTAAACAAAGGTTGAACCAGTTCAGTAAACTAATTCTATTTTAAGCTCTGGCCGTACATAATTCGTTATTTACAGCTTTCGAGCTTCATGGATTCCCTCGTTGCTTTTCATTTCGAAACCTACGTATTATTGTTTGTTATTGGAGACGGGGAGGCTAGAGGGGGCTGGAGTCGCCAGAATTATTCCGTTTGACACATGATAGAACGGATATTCGAAGTCTTCAGTGATAGAGTTGTCCACCATGGGCTATCGGGGCCCATATCCATCACATTACTGCTTTGAGACATGAGTTCCAAATCCTCACCCTTCGAAACAGAATCCACGCCTGACAGCAAAAAAGGGAATAGAGGAAGGGAAGTAAAATCGTGTCACATCGCGTGTTAAATGGATTCGAAGCGTACAAACCAGTTTTACCTAGAACCAGTAATGTCAGTGCGGCTTCTGCGATATGTCTTACTGCGTCGTACCTTGAAATCGAAAAGACCTTTCCTTACTGTATTTTGCTGCGACATATGTAAATTATTTGTAACAAGGCTTAATGAGAATATTTCACCAAAGACTGCAGCAGAACTGTGTCGCGATCTCTGGGCTGGAGAGTCCAATTGAAGGAGTGATTCGTGTCTGTTTACAGAGCCCATAAAAATAGCTCGAAAAAAGATATACTTTTTTATTTTTTATTTTTTTATTGCTTAGGTGGGTGGACGAGCTCACGGCCCCACCTAGTGTTAAGTGGTTACCGGAGCCCATAGACATCTACAACGTAAATGCCGCCACCTTGAAATTTGAGTTCTTAGGCCTCAGTTTTTACGTCTGCCGCACCCTTCAAGCCGAAACTCATTACTGCTTCACGGCAGAAATAGACAGGGTGGTGGTACCTAACCGTGCGGACTCACAAGACGTCCTACCACCAGTAACTACTTTCCGACATACAACTTCTTTTCATTTTCAGTGTTACCGTTTTTGCGTCCTTGTAAAAACAATAATGCCCTTACCGTTGTTTGAGTCAAACCTGACTCATTTACGAGCAGTAGCTATGCCTCTGAGTCAGCGATGTCTCAGATATTTTAATTGGTGTGTTACGTCAATGAGTCGTGACACATCGGCCAACGTTGATATGAAAACGTCCTTTGCCGGAGTACTTATTGTGGAGAACTTAGAAACACCTTATAGTTTCACTTCAGAAATCGGCTGAATGGTGGTAATCTACCGGGCAAAGTGGAAGAGCTTAGGTAGGAAAGCGAACCCTGGTATTAGACCGGGAAAACGCTAGAAAGAAGGAGAAGAAGATGGTAATTTGCGGCTTGAGTTATAATATCTTAATGGTGCCTCAGGTAGCAAGAGTGGAGGATAGGGTTGATGAGGGATAGTGAGGGATATGTAATGATAAGATAATAAGGGAAATAGGAATTAGACAAATGCCAAAATACATGAGGATGTCTGAATGATTGTCTGATGGAATTCAGAAGATTCAGCAGTACAATAGAAACTACAGAATTATTCCTAAGCGTCGTTGAAATAAATACCGCTAATCTACTTCGTAAAATAACGAGCACAATGATTAATTGATTACACAAAAAAATAATTCAACTGCGAAACGGTGATTGTCGAACGGTCACCGCACGGTCACGGTGTGTGGTCACCATCACAAACGGTCAATGACACAAATGCGACAGATTTCTATACTGGTCAGTTTTGTGTGTAGCTTTATAACGGCTAGCCATTAGTCAGAGATCGCCGGTACCGACATGGGCCCTCGGTATGATGCATCACGACCAGACCCGTCCGTGGCCTAATTGTTATGACTAAGAACTACTGCCAACACTAGATTCTGTGTTCTATTATAGTATCTTAAGTTATGAAGATATCATTCATCGCTCCTAAGCTTCGATCATCAATAGTAACTGTTGATCGAAGCTCCTAAGGATGGAAAAGCTAGAAAACTAAATCACTTCATTTAATTTGAAATTCGAGAGCCTTCCACTCTCACACAATAATAGTCAGAAAAGATTTTGAAAGTAATATTAAATA